ATTTATTTATTATACTATCATATGCTACTATTGTAATTCATATTTCTATTATTATTGTCATAATTGGTATTGGCACTTACTATACTACTACAACTACTGCTACTACTGTTGCTATTGTTTGGCCCATGAATGTCAAATACAGAAATCAGAGGAGCTGCAGCATAAAAAAAAAAGCGCATAAAAACATTACATATCAGCGTCTTTACTCCCTGTAAAATCCAGAATTGAATTTAAAATCCTACTGTTAACTTATAAAGCTCTAAATGGTCAAGCTCCGTCATATCTTAGAGAGCTCATAGTGCCATATTATCCCACCAGAACACTGCGCTGGAGAATGCAGGGTTACTCGTGGTCCCTAAAGTCTCCAAAAGTAGATCAGGAGCCAGAGCCTTCAGCTATCAGGCTCCTCTCCTGTGGAATCATCATCCTGTTGCGGTCTGGGAGGCAGACACCGTCTCCACATTTAAGACTAGACTTAAGACTTTCCTCTTTGATAAAGCTTATAGTTAGGGCCGGCTCAGGCTTGCCTTGTACCAGCCCTTAGTTAGGCTGACTTAGGCCGAGTCTGCCGGAGGACCCCCTATAATACACCGGGCACCTTCTCTCCTTCTCTCCTTCTTTCTCTCTCTCTCTCGTGTCCTATTACTGCATCTTGCTAACTTGGCTATTCTGGATGTCACTAACTTGGCTTCTTCTCCGGAGCCTTTGTGCTCCACTGTCTCTCAGGTTAACTTGTATTGCAGCGGTGCCTGGATAGTGTGACGTGTGTGGTTGTGCTGCTGCCGTGGTCCTGACAGATGCCTCCTGCTGCTGCTGTTATCATTAGTCATACTTCTGCTGTTTATACTTATTATACATATATGATTATTGTCACATATGTATACTGTCAGATATTAATATATACTTTCAACATATTGTACCACAGTAGCCAGAACTATAATTATAATATTATTACTTTCATTAATGTTGTTGTAAACTACTGTCATTACCGTCTGTCCTGCATCTCTCTCTGTCTGTCTCTGTCTCTGTCTCTCCCTCCCCCTCTGTCTCTCTGTCTCTCTCTCTCTTTCTGTCTCATTGTGTCATACGGATTACTGTTAATTTATTATGTTGATCGGTTCTATACGACATCTATTGCACGTCTGTCCATCCTGGAAGAGGGATCCCTCCTCAGTTGCTCTTCCTGAGGTTTCTACCATTTTTTTCCCCCATTAAAGAGGTTTTTTGGGGAGTTTTTCCTTATCCGCTGTGAGGGTCCTAAGGACAGAGGGATGTCGTATGCTGTAAAGCCCTGTGAGGTAAATTGTGATTTGTGATATTGGGCTTTATAAATAAAATTGATTGAAATTGAAAATTGATATTATCGATTACTACAGGCATTACTATCACTCCTACCCAATACTCAGTGTTGGGCAGTAGCGTCACTACAGTAGCGGATGTTTGTAGTTTAACTACGTTTCTCAGTAGCTTGGTGGTAGCGTCGCTGTTTTCTGAATCAAGTAACTTCTCAGTAGTTAAGCTCTTTTATTGATCACTTAGCGCGGTAGCGTCCACACAAGCTACATTTCCAAAATCATTTCTGAATCTCAAACGAGGCGGGGATTTCTGTTATGGACTGAAATAAAACTGTCACTGCCACCACACAGAGTTACTTCCACAAGAACCTGACGGGGGACAGCCCTCCATTCCGAAACCCCGCCGTTCCGAACGACCCCCACTCCAAAATTGATTTTCAAGTCCATATCAATTCTGAAACTCGTTGTACTACAAAAGCTTGAAATGAACGTTCAACTCATTGTTTTTTATTGAAAATATATGACTGTCTTCATTTATTATGTATAATTTCTCTAGCAGCAAACACATTTAAAAGGAGACGCTTGTCAAGTATTTTTACTCGTGCCGTCCGTGGTGCTGAAATCCCCGCTGCAGCCACCGCTCCTGCTGACAGCAGACCGGGGGAGAAAAAAAAGACATTTCTGTTTTTTTCATATTGGAGCAATTTCATACAATTTCAGACATTTAACATGATAAACTAATTTCAATTCAACATGGTCATTTGCTTAGAGGATTCAGCTGAAGCATAATGAGTGTTATATGTCATTAAGATGAAGTAGCCTATTTGCTTGTTTTGTGGTTAATTATGCACATAATCCATTTGACCCCATCATGAATGGGATTTTTAGTCGTTCCTGCAGACAGAGGCAAAAGGGTCAATGCGCAGCCTCCGTTTCCTTTGCGTCCATCTCGTTCATTCAAACTTTGTAAACACGGTTGGGATTTGTAGGGGACGTGTATGCTGCTCACTATAGAATGTGTTTACTAAAATGTGTTTACTAGTCTCATTTCTAGTCAAAACAAATCTCTTTACACTTAAAAAATACTTGTTTCAAGCAAATTTTCACTTGAAATAAGTATGAAAATCTGCCCATGGAGCAAGTGTTTTTTTGCTTGCAATAAGAAAAAAAAACTTGCTCCATGGACAGATTTTTTTTCTACTTATTTCAAGTGAAAATTTTCCTGAAACAAGTGAAAATTGTCTAAAAACAAGTTACTTTTTAGGTGATGAGTCTTATTTCAATTGTAATGAGATTTGTTTTGACTAGTAATAAATATTCTATATGTTGTGACTGTTTGAAGCAGGTCTTCATTCTTGCTGTTGTGGTTTGAGTCGTGTTGTGAGTTAGCGCAGCTCACTGTTCAGTAAACAATTGAACTTAACTTTTTTACCTGCCTATCTGTTTGACTGACAGTTTTATTGATCAGTAAGATAACACTGACTTGGCATGAAGTTGGTTCAATTTAGTAAAAAGCTTGGATGTAGTTGCACTAGTTACTTTCATTTTGCTGTAGCTTAGCTTGCTACATTTCTGAGGGTGATAGCTTTGATGGAGTGAAGCTTTATTTAATATTAAATTAACTAGTAGCTTAGCTCACTACACTTTCCAAGTAGCTTGCCCAACACTGCCAATACTACTAAAACTACTACTACTACTACTACTACTACTACTAGTACTGTTGCTACTTTTTGATATACAAATGTCAGAAACTCATCTCTTTTTAACTGAAAACAGTCTTCAAATCTTTACTCTACTGCAAATCTTTACTCTACTGCACTCTAAACTACTACTACTACTACTACTACAACTACATTACATACTGTGATCTACAGACATCATTATATTCTCTTATATTATCTAAACAGTATGCTCTATAAAGACATTTTTAGTTGTATTCAACTTTTTTACTTGTCATGTCTTAAAATGCAAAGCATTTCTTATTCCAGCCTTTTCAGTAAATTTCAGCCTTTGACAGTATTATAGTTAAGCTTCCACCTTTTGTAGCTTTGTATTTCACCTCTTAGTTTCTTTTGGGAATGCAGTTCAGCTTCCAATTCCAATACATTGTAGCTTCCAGTTTTCAGCAGTGTAGTGCATTTGAGCTTTTATATTTTTCAGACAAACTGTCTCATATTTCTGCATTTTCAGCAATGCATTTCAGCTATCAGCATCCACATGCATTTTCAGCAGGAAATGCATTTTCTAGTTGTTGTTGCTGTGCATCTCTCTCTCCCTCTCTCAATTTAATTTCAATTCAACAGGCTTTATTGACATGACATTTAACATGTGTTGCCAAAGCACAAATACAATTAAAAGGCAGTGAATGAAATTTACAACAGATTACACAAATGACAACAGTCAACAGAGCAATGTAGGTCATTAAATTAGTAAGCAAAATACTGTACACATATAGACATACCTATATACATATCTTGTATGCCTCATATATGTTTACCTACAGTACAAACACATGTTTTATGTGTTTGTATATGAAAACAAACAAACAAAAAATGGAGTAGAGGGGTAAAAAAAAGCATACTGCGAGCTGTAAGGAGATGACCTCCAGCTCTCAATTTAATACAATTCAATTCAATTCAATTTAATTCAATTCAGTTCAGTTCAGTTCAGTTCAATAAGTTTTACTGGCACAGTATTTCTTGTGTGTTGCCAAAGTAAAACCACATTTTAAGACATTGGATTCAGAAACAATTAACAACAATGTATTATTTCAAAATCATAGACATGAATTTTAAAGAAAACACATTAAGTGAAGGCGTAGGCTAAATGAAAGTGCGAGCTCTGAGGAGATGAACTATATGTTGTTGTGTTGGTTGTCTGTTAGGCTGTGACATACACTGACATTTTTTGCTGCTTCTATGGCACTGACACTATTTTCTCCAAGCAGATGATACATTTTAGTCTGGTCAGAGAGTGAATCAAAATCTTGGAATTTACATTTAATTTTTGTAAGAACTTTGTTCTGACGTCTTCATGTGTGCTACATTGCAGCAGGAAATGTTGCTCTGTCTCCACCTGTCTCTGAGGACAGAGCTGACACAGCCTGTCACAGGTCTGCCTGTGTCTGCCAGTCTCTATGGCCAGACTGTGTTCACTGAGTCTGTACATAGTCAGTATCTTTCTAAGTTACTGATCTGTCACAGCAGTCAGATAGTTTGCCATCGTGCACTGTCTGTTTAGGGCCAAATAGCATTTAAGTTTGGGTTTTGTGGTAGATGTCCAATAGTTAATGTAGTTTTCTTTTTCTTAAGCAATAATTTGGTTGGGCAGAATTGTGTGAGGGTTGTCCTGAGGCTTTGTGCTGTTAGAGGAGGTTTGCCTCTCTCCCTGTATGTGTCATTTTGTCACATGGATTAGTGTAATATCATAATGTTGATCTGCTCTGTACACACCACATGGATTGCAGTCTGTCCATCCTGGAGGAGGGATCTGTGTTCGGTTGCTCTCACCATTAAAGGGTCCAAGGACAGAGGGATGTAATATGTTGTAAAGCCCCCGGGGGCAAATTGTGATTTGTGATATTGGGCTTTTTACATAAAATGTGATTAAATTGGATAAATAAGTTGCAATGTGGTCTTTTAAATATAATTTGCTGTTTATCTCTCTTCCATCTCACAACACATAAGACTGGAAGCTGGTGCTTTCCTGTCTGAGCTCCCAGCTGCCGCCTACCTCCAGTAAGGCCACGGTAGTAAAAAGCCGCCCACATTGAGTCAACTATAAATTCTTGTCTGTGTGAGTGATGCTTTCGGTAGCTATGGAAACCTAATATAATGCACACTCGCCTTCCTCCCTCTCTCTCTGTCTCTCCCTCCTCCCCTCTCACTCTCTGCTTATGTCTCTCTCCCTCCACACCAAAGCTCTTTAGGCTACTTTGCGCATGTACGGCCAGTCAAACCGAACATTGCATCGACTCCAAGATGGCGAAAACACGTCTGGCTTGCCTCCTGACTCTCCTCTCAACTCACTGTAAGTACAAAAATGACCTGGAATGTCTCTTACTTTGCCGTTTTCTCTTCGGGGAACGTGACCGTCAAATGCTATTTACTTCTGCATCTGTTTGATCAAGGTTTGACACCAGCGTCAGGCAAACAAAATAGATTGTCCCTCATAAGTAACCCTATGTGGACACAACTAACGTTAAACTCAAGCCACACTGACAGCAAGACCAGTCTCTCTAACGTGAAGTAGGCTAAATGTAGTTATTAGTTCTATTAACGAAATGGCAAATAGAGTCGCCATTTTTGATACAACTTACTGTCAACATGTCTGGCAAATGTAACGACGTTGCGGCTCAAGCGATGGTTTTAGGCAGCTATTATTTCTCAAATCCATCGCCAACTCTCCCTCGCCGTTTAAAGCGGAATAGTGTGGCTGCGTGTAAAATAACGGTGTGTGGATGTAGCCTCTTATGAGCACAGCAGGACAAAGTGAGTGAAATGTTGAGGTCTTGCATCAGTTCAATTAGCGGCGTGTTTCAGAGTGCGGTTAAGCCACCACGTTTGTCGGAAAAAGTTTCACCCTCTCAAGTTTGGAGAGAGACTTGTTTGTGAATTAAATATGAATTAAAGCAGTTTCGTAGCCAGTGCTGTTAACTATTTAAGGCGGGTTTGGAGCCGCGGTGATGGCAGAGATGTTGGAAGTAGTGATGCGAGATAACGGTTTTCCTGCGGCGGAATAAAGCAGGCTGTCCGCGGGAGGAGCCAGCCAGCCAGGCCAGCGAGTGTCCTTTCCCCCCTCAGCCTCCTCCTCCTCCTCCACCCGCTGCTGCTGCTGGACCCTTTCAAACCGTACCACAACGGAGCTGGAAAACACAAACAGCCGTCGGAAAATCAATTCGTTTCAGTCGCCCACCCTTAAAGAAAATACCCCATAAGCAATGTCTATCAGACCTATAGCCTAGTTGGAAGTGATAGGCGCACACCTGTAAGATCGCAGCAGCTCAATTTAATTTTAACGCACGAGTCGAAAATAGTACTACGATAGTAGGCCTATACGATATTTGAAGCAATTGCAAAGTTGAATTAGTCTACATGCAATTAGATGAAATAAAGGGACAGTTCCTAAGTTATCAATGGATGGGGTGTCTAGGGTGTGACTTTATTTATTTTTTATTTAAATTTTTTTACCCTCCCTGATGCTACAAATATTTTTCCTTGAGCCTCCCTGAGTGACTGGGGGAAATGCATGACCTCCACCATGGATTCGTTAATAGATTTTTCAAACTTTAAAGTCTACTTAAGGAAAGTTAAATGTTGAAGAAAAAATCCTGGAGCTGATAAAAAGCCTTGTTTTTTGTTGTTTTTTTTACTCTAGTCCTGCGTGCTGGTAAGTTCCTGCAAACGGTTTATTTTTGGAATATCACTATGTTAAACTCAGATTTGGTTATGTTTTTTTTTTCTGGGACTGTCAAAAATGTTTAAAATCCAATGATTATTTCTGTTTATACTTTCTGTCTATGATAAACTGTGTAATTTTGGTATTTTTGAAACATGCCTTGGAATGTTTCCTTAAAAAATTGGCAGTAAAATAAGTACAAAATACAGCTATTTCAATCTGTATGCCCTCCTGTAAGCCAAAATGAAAACAAGTCCCTCCACAGTGCTTAATTTTTTTTAATTGCCTCCCCCTTTGGCACCACCCCTCCCCCATCAGAAATAACGAACAGTCCCAAAGAATCAAATATTTGCTCTGCTGGTGTGATCACACAGTTTTGTCATAGAAAAGTCACCTGGTACTGTGCTATGTAGTGATTTTTTTTTTTTTTAAATTGAGATTGATTGTTTGCTCTTTTCTCAAAACCTGATAAAGGATCTCAGCTGCTCCCAAACTATTACAGTAGGAGAAGGAACATTAATGCTACAGTTTACAAACTCTTAATTTAGATAGATTTGCTACCCTTCATTCGATCCCCAGTAGGGATGTAACGATATGGAAAATTTGATATCTTGATTATAGTGACCAAATTATCACCGTAAACGATAATATTGCAATATTTTTTTAAGCGCTGTAAAATGTCCAAAAAATAGATACATTGAAATAACTTCACTAAATCTTGTAACTTCCTTATCATACTAAAATGTTAACAGCCAAAATCTTATATTAAAATGAAACTTTCACATTAAAGGGGCAAGGGATTGGCACAGCAACAGAAAATTTTATTTTAAATTAACAAAATATGCAAACACATTACAGGAGCAAAGCTTATTTGTCTGGTGCATTTTAACAGTCAGCAAAATATGTAAACAATTTATATATTATTTATTTATTAGCAAGAGAGGAAAAATATATATAAAACAAAACAATGCAAGAGTAGAACAAAAGACATACAATATATAGAACAGATATCACAAATGTGCAGGAGAAACCAAAAAAACCCTAAGGGCAATGGTCATCATTACACAGAATAATTCACACATTAGAAGTGTGCATGTGAGTCAGAGGATTACCTGTATGAGAAAAGGAGTGCATGTTCTCGGTCAAAGGTTAACACGGCAGCGTTGTTTCCTTGAGTTTATGTCAAGAAAGCATAACTGGCCGTCTATATCGATTCTAGCTCGCCATACAATAACCATAATCACAGTGATTCAATCATAGTTGATCTCAATTAGCGTTAGGTTACGTCGGTTTATATTCTGTCGGCTCCGCTCAGTGTTTTCAGCTCCGTTTCGTTTTGAAACACTTAACGTTAGCAACATAGCTGCTAATACGGCTATTAGCTACTCAGCTAGTATTAGCTCCTAAGTGTCTTAAACGAAAACGGAAAACCTAGTCGCCGTTTAGGAGGACAGATACGGCTCAAATGTCCCGCATACGTTGAGAGTTACACATTATGACAATCTTAGTAAAACCGAAGTCCCTCACACAATAACTGATGTTTGCATGGCATAACTTGCATTGGCTGTAAAGCTGTGGATGATGGTCACGGAGATGAGCCAGCAGATTTGTAGTGTTGCTACCCTTGCACTTTCTTTCTGCATGTTCTGCACACAGGATAGTTGTCCTCCACCAGCTGTCCCTCGGCATTCTTCAGAAACCCAAAGTACGCCCAGACCTCAGACTTTGTGCGTTTACTTGGGGGGGGAAATGTCCTGAGTGCGCTATCACCACCTTCCGCCATGTTTGCATTTTGTGTTTACACATGCTACGCATTCACGCAGCGCCTGCATCACGAGACTTGAATGAGACTGTTATTACATATCCTGATAATCCACCGCGATAATGCAATTAATTTAAACATAAACAGTAATTCTTACCGTGTAAAAATTAACCGAAATTTACTGTAATATCGGTAATCGTTATATCCCTAATCCCCATTACAGACAATATTTCACATGCCTGCTTTAATTGTACATTTTGGTTGAACATTTTTGGAAGTGTAACAACTGTTTTACTTAAAAAAAAGTTACAATTGCATTTACAAACATTGCCCTTTTTTCCCTTTCTTGCATGAATATCTATGCTTTGGTAATAATTTTGCCACAACATTTGGGCATGGAATGTGTTGATTTTCTCTGGTTTCTACTTGGACTTAGATTGAGCAAGTTGTGAGAGGACAGACCTACAGATCAAAGAGAAGTACAGACATAAGAACCTCCTGTGATCTCTCACGTGTGTCAACTGGCTTATTCTTCTTGCTTTAATTAGGAATAGCAGCAGAGCTTGTTTGAAATCTGTTGCTGTACTATCAGGACTGTCTCTCTTGACACACCTCGAGGCTGCGTGCTGATTTTTTTTCTCTTCAAGCGATACATTTCAAAGTCAGTACTCTTGATGATGTTCCCCTTAGTAAATCTGTGACATGGCATGGTTGCAGCACAATTGACATTTTTTTTTTGGGGGGGGGGGGGGGGGGGGGGGGGGGGGGGGGGGGGGGGTCGGGTCAGTGAGCTGGTGAAGAATTAAGAATTTCTTTTGTCGTGCCTGGACAGGGCTTAGCCATGTGGCCAACTGGCTCCCAGCCAGCATCACCACTGTCTTTAGAAACAGGACAAATCTGGCTAAACTCAAGCTGGCCACAAGCCGTGTTATGAATTTCCACTTGGTACTGATACTAATAGGAATTGACTGTAATTAGAATTTGTCTTGTATTTTGGAAAAGCATTCCACAAAGTGAGTAAAAAAAAAATTCAGAGGAAGGAATGTGTTATTTGCTTTGCTTCTCGTTCTGTAGGTCACACTTTGTGTTCCTCATGTGTCTGTAAGATGTGCTTGTTATTTTCATTACATTCTTTGGTAGCTATCATCTTAATGGGCATGCAACCCCAGCCATTCCAAGTGAAGTCTAAAGCCAGTGCGACTCAACATAGCTGCAAATATCAGCCCAGTCATCTGTCAGCAGAGCGAAAGACAAGGGCCATTGTTATTTTAAGTACACATGCTTACAACAGACTTTCCAATCTGATCTAATGGAATGCATTGACATTTTCCATTGTTGGCTTCACCTGAGCCATTTCACTTAAAATATTCCAAAGACAGAGGCATGCACTTAAACAAGACATCTGCCAGAACCTTCCTGCCAAGAGCATGGCCAAGATATGTGGGAGCTTGGAAGATGCTCAGAGTGGATTGGTACCATGCAAATATAAACTTTGACATCACTGCTCTCTTATAAGAAACACCTGTGGACATCTATACATTTCAAAACGTATTGCTTACTTTTTACTTAATTATCGGGACAGACAACAGAAAACTATCTAATTAAATAGAATCGTGAAAACCTGATTATTTACAATTAATATCTGAAAATTGACATCAAGAATGCAGATATTGTTTCAGGTTCGATTCATCAGCTTTCAACTTATGCAAGTGTTGAAATTGATTTATCTTAACGGAGAACTGACATTTTTATGACGTGACATTATCCTTTGTTTTCACACATGGCTGTCAGCCTAATCCAAATTGAGTTCTGTCTTTATCAGAACTGATAAGATAAGGGAGAAAGCTGTCAGCTAGATTGTTGCAGAGTC